AACCACACTTTCTTTATGTGCATGACTAGGGTTATTTCCAGTTGAGAGCATGGATGACGTTAATGTTGTTTGTTCTTTAAAATATTGTAAACAGAAATACTTGGTGCCGTATTAATCTCTGTAGCCACATTGGTTCGTTAATGTATTTCAAATTAAATGCGACAAGTAAGGCAGAATGAAGTCGTCATTCGCTATTCAGTCTTTTAAGTTGAGGTTATTATAGGCTTAATTTACGAGAGTCTCAAATTAAATGCGACAAGTAAGGCAGAATGAAGTCGTCATTCGCTATTCAGTCTTTAAGTTGAGGTTATTATAGGCTTAATTTACGAGATTCTCAAATTAAATGCGACAAGTAAGACAGAAGGAAGTCGTCATTCGCTATTCGGTCTTTAAGTTGAGGTTGTTATAGACTTAATTCACGAGAGTTTCCTTTGTTCGTGAAGGTTAACATGAAAATGTGGGGAAAAGCAATGTGTGTTTTGTTTCTGTTTTGGGAAAAGAAATATATAGTTAACTGCATAGGCGACAAAGATATCAAAATTAAAGAATAGGTTAAACAATCGCCAATTTTTATATTTGAAGAGGATGGCGTTTTAAGTTAGAATTTTTCGTCTGCGCTAGAGTGAAACGCCATTCTCTTTAAATATTAATATATATAAAAACTTGGCGACTTTGATTTATGTCTTGGGATCTTACTACGGGGTTTAATCTTCTGTGCTTATAATGTATGCGTGTATATACGTCTGCATAGCGCATAAATATTAAATATTAAAAGCGTTCCAGGTTTATTATTTAACACCTTATAATACTTGTAATTCATTTACATTTATTAGATATTTCGAAATAACTAAAATGACCTTAGAGTGTAAACAGTACAACAAAAACCTCTGAAAAAATATTTCTATCGACGCGTGTGTTTCATCAATAAATTTAAAGAATGAACCACCTTTAGCCTAAATCTTCATTTTCGTATTATAAAAACTACTGAATTTCTTACTAATATCATTAGGATTTTGGAGTTTGTTGTTTAATTCTAGTTTTTGAATGAGGAAATCAACCAATTTTAATGTGTTCGTTTGGTGGCGCTCTTTTCAGATTTCCCTACTACAGTTAAATGTGAGCTTTACCTGAGAAGTATAGGTGCTATCAACCCTGCAACTATGGTGAGTGGACGTGAGCTCGAACGAATAAACGCTGTCTTTACACACACACATAAAAAAAAAATGTTAGAAATTTATTCGTCTAATTATGACATTAAGTGTTAATAAAGACATTGTGATAAAATAGTTTTGAAAACGCCGTTTTTATCAAGTTTCTATAGATGTGTGACTATCTGGCCGAGCTATGTTTTCTTAATTTCACTGTAAATGTCCAGCCTCAACCAGAATTCCATTATTTGTCACGTTCGTTGTTTTCATTGGATTTTGCATTACATATCCAAAAATTATAAAGGATACCTAATATAGACACTTACAAAGAATTTAATTACTAATTATACAAATATGCCAACTTATATCTAAGCAAAAAAATTATCTTTAGAAAATTAAAAGTTGTTTGTATATCTAATCTATCTCATTAAGTAATTAAATGTTGTTGTTTTTTATCAAATTAGGCTAACTCATTTATACATTATTTTATCTGCTGAGCAGTAAACTGTTTTCTTCTATACCTGTGTTATACAAAGAAAGCAAAAATTAGGATTAGAACTTAACAACTCACGTGTCTGCCCATGGAACAAGTATTTATAAAAACAACCTTAACAAAAGTTGTCGAACCCATTTTATTGTTGTTATTTGTGAATATTTTAAACTGAATATAAATATGAAGTAAACACATTTTAGAGTTTGTATTATTGCTATTATTGATGTGTAAAAGTGTTGTATGAAAATGTTTTCTATATCTCTATTTTCTTTCCATCAGGATTATGAGGTAGACCTGTATCTTCGCCAGACTTGGCATGACGAGCGCCTGCGCAGTAACAACTTGACTAGGCATCTGGATCTGAACGATCCAATCCTGGTCAAAAGGCTGTGGCGGCCAGACGTTTACTTTCCCAATGCTAAACATGGAGAATTCCAATATGTGACCGTACCCAATGTTTTACTGAGAGTCAATCCTAATGGCGATATTCTTTATATGCTTAGGTTGGTAGAAAAGAACAATAATTTTACATTTAATGAATCCAATTTATGATTCTCTTACACATTCAAACTTAACAAAAACACAATCTTCGTAAAGAATTATTACGCGAAAAACAAATGTAAAAGTTAAAACACTTCGAACTTTTAACGAGAGGAAGGCTTCATTAATGTTTCGGTATAGCGGTATTAGTTTCGTTTTATCACTAGTTGTAACACACTAGGGTATGGTGAGTATCTTTCCTTCTATTTTATAGCTTTCTGTATTAATTAAGTTCTGTTCCAAGCATATTCATAGTTATGTCTTCTTAAAACTTAAGGTCGCAGTAATCTGACCATTGAGAAACCAGCATGATGTGTGGCTGCTCTTGAAGCTGAACGAATCTTATCTCTTTCTTCGTGGATATCCTCTACTCATCCTTTTAAGGAATAGTGCAAGTCTCCATCAAGTGCATTTCGTAATTTAAAGGGCACATATGGTCCAAATATCAGTTAAATGTAAGGTTTAGTAATGAGATACCAGGATTATAGCTAATTACCCAACACTTGGAAAGTTTATGGAGTTGTAGTAGATTGTGGTGAAAAAAGAAAATGAAGGTTTATTGGAAAGATTAATTCAGGTTAATACCTTGATGTATACAGAAGGTTGTTTGTCTAAAGTGATCGAGATTCTTACTTTGGCCTTCTAAAACTTTCCTGCTTCTCAAAATTATTTGGCTACATTACACGTACGCTTTCGAAGCATCTTGTTTAATTAACAACGACGACGTTCAGTTTGCACGTTACTTTCTTTTCAACAGATGATGCAATTCAAAAGCTCGTAACTAATGGAGGTAGGAGGATTTAGTTTTTAGTTTGTTTCTGATGTTGTGTTGTTTCTGTTCTATGGAGGAAGAAGTCTTATTGGTTATTCAGGTGATGTTTTTTTGGTTTATCTCTTAATTTTTGGATCGTTACATTTTGAAATTTAGTTTCATTTCTCTCTTTTATTCATTCGAATAATGAATAATAAATAGAATATTGTGATTTCTTATATATTCTACTGAAACTCGTGAAATAAAACATCCGTTGTAAATCATGGCATCTAAAAGATGTAGAAAGTTCACTCTTATTCTTTTGAATAATACATTTTCTCATCTGATGATGTACTTAGTTTAGTTTGAAATCTCGTGACTAATGGAGGTAGGAGGTCTTAGTTCTTAATTGTTAATTTGTTTTTCCCGTTTAATAGAGGTGAAGGTTTTAGTACTTATTTAGGTGATGTTTTTGGTTTATTTCATATTGTGTATTACAAAATTTTGTAAAAGCAAATATTTTAAACAAACTAATTAATGCTTCTATGAGGCCCCCCAGTAGCACAGCTGTATGTCTGTGGACTTACAACGCTAGAATCCGGGTTTCGATACCCGTGGTGGGCAGAGCACAGATAGCCCATTGTGTAGCTTTGTGCTTAATTACAAACAAACAAGCTTCTATGAGAGTATTGACAAACATTGACACAAAATGTGTAAACCAAATACATTACTTCTTTACCCTAAACAAAGAAAACTAACTGACTAAAAATACTTAAAAGCGAAGTAAGGCTAAAAAGCAATCTGATGGCCAGGAAAAGAGCCCGCAATCTGATGGCCAGGAAAAGAGCCCACAATCTGATGGCCAGGAAAAGAGCCCATCAATCTGATGGCCAGAAAAAGAGCCCACAATCTGATGGCCAGGAAAAGAGCCCGTGGCAGCTTCATCATTTTTAATAATATATGACGTTTTTGAATAAGAAATGTGGCCCTTTAAAAGTATTAGTTCACGAGCTTTTAAAACACAATCTGCGTGTCGCGAGTTCATATCCTGTCACCGAACATTCTCGCCCTTTCAAATGTGAAGGCGTTATAATGTGTCAGTCAATTTCAGTATTCGTTGGTAAAGAGTATCCCAAAAGTCGGCGGTGGGCGGTATTGATTAGCTGCCTTCATTTTAGTCTATCATTTCTAAATTAGAGACGGCTAGCACAGATAGCTCTCGACTGGCTTTACGCGAAATTAAACAAACAAACAAACTTTTCTTCACGTGGGTTTCGCTAGCTTTCGGTGTTTAAATGTAGCTTTTAAAGTATTATACTGCATATATATAGAGAGAGTTTCAGATAAAAATTCTCTCTCATCGTCCATTTCAACCATATGGCATAATGTGGTTGAAATATTATTATATACTCTTCTTGAATAATCCTAAGGAACTGAACAAAGAATGTCATGTTAAAAAAACATGATGGGCCTAATACTAATGTCTTATGACAAGTATAATTAATTACAATCATGCTTCGCCAGCTTAGAAACGGCATTCAAACCATAAACATTGTTCTAACAAGCGGTTTATATTTATTTATGATGTATATTTTTCATGATAGTATTAGGTTTTTATGTGAAATATTGTAAATAACCTATATTCTTCGGGCATATAAACATTCTCTGTTTTAAAATTCTTTTATAGTGAATGGCCATTGCTAAATTTGTTTAATTTTCTTAATTTGCCAACCACGAAGCTTAAAACATGCTGATCCTGTAACAGATATTATCAATTTGTGAAGAAAACTAATTATATCAGACAAATTCTAAGAAAACATTTGTCTAGCATAAAGTATTTTGTTTACATAATACCGTCTTGTTTACATAATACCGTCTTGTTTACATAGTACCGTCTTGTTTACATAATACCGTCTTGTTTACATAATACCGTCTTGTTTACATAGTACCGTCTTGTTCATATACACTCTTACTTTATATATCGTGATATAAAGGGATACGGCCGTCTTGTTTACATAATACCGTCTTGTTTACATAGTACCGTCTTGTTTACATAGTACCGTCTTGTTTACATAATACCGTCTTGTTTACATAGTACCGTCTTGTTTACATAGTACCGTCTTGTTTACATAATACCGTCTTGTTTACATAGTACCGTCTTGTTCATATACACTCTTTACTTTATATATCGTGACATAAAGGGATACGGCCTCTTATTTCAAGTTATTAAAAGAAAAAAGTAATCGTAAATTACTTTTATAAAAGCACAGTTGGAATTAATCAGGATAGTTATGCAGTTGGTTGTCTTCTGCTAAAGGTTGTGGCATAACACGTATGTAGTCCAGACAACGTGATGACGCGATGAGTGCTCTATTTCAGTACCTCATTCGTCATATATACGTCGTTAAACACCAAGCTGCGGGAAAATCCCTGATCACAATCGGTGATATGAAAACGTTTGTTTGTTTTATTGCGGTTATTTGACACAAAATTTACTTTACATTTTCGACTTGTGTTGGTTTTGGTGCCCATTTAAAAACTTGTTTTTTTTAAATTAAGAAAGAGTAATGTGAATTTCATGTGTGCATTGGGAGGTTTGTTTGTTTGAAGTTAAGCACAAAGCTACACAATGGGCTATCTGTGCTCTGTCAACCACGGGTATCGAAACCCGGTTTCTAGCGTTGTAAGTCTGCAGACATACCGCTGTGCCACTAGGGGGGGGGCACATTGGGAGACATCTAAAAGTATTAGAAAACTAAAAAAAATGATCCTCTACGGGTCGGCGGTAAGATAATGAATTTAAGACGGTAAAATCCAGGATTCGATCCCCTATGGTAACCGAGTGCGGACAGCTCATTGTCCAGCTTTGCACTAAAGAAACAAGAAGTAACTAAAATAATCTAATTTTCATTAACTATTTCTCATATTTATATAAACAAAAGTCGGTTGACTATTTTCCATCTACAGTTACTATTTTGATACGAAGTGAGTTTCTTTTAAAATGTTTTCAAATGAAAACGAAGGAATAAGATATTGGTCCATTAATGGAACTTAGACAGAATGTGCCCATTAATAGAAAACATTGTATGCAAATTGTCTTCGGCGTTTTCCGAATAAAATAGAAAATGCAAATAAATGCAAGCCTTTTATAATTATTTTTCGATAAATAGCTTACTGTTAAGAAAATTGGAAGCGCAAAAACGCGTAAAAAAATATACATTTAGAAATCGAATTAAAATTAAAAATATATATATTTTTCTAGAACAGTTTGGCCCCGCATGGCCAGGTGGTTATGGCGTTTGACTCGTAATCTGAGAATTGCGGGTTCGAGTCCCCGTTCCACGAAACATGCTCACTCGTGCAGGCGTTATAATGTGACGTTCAATCCCACTATTCGTTGGCAAAAGAGTAGCCCAAGAGTTGGTGGTGTGGTGATGACTAGCTGCCTTCCCTCTAGTCTTTCACTACTAAATTAGGGATGGCTAGCGCAGATAGCCCTCGTGTGGCTTTGCGCGAAATTCAAACCAAACCAAACCTAAGTAGAATAGCTTAGATTTAAAGATTCTTGCACAATATGTGAATAGAAAGAGATATAATATTATTTTATTATTGAGAGAATGGATTACACAATATATATAATAGGATTTTCGGGGACACCTTTGCTCTCTACTCGGTGGCTGAACGGTAAACTTTAGGGTTTATAACGTTAAAATTCCGAGATCATTACCCGCGGTATACACAGCGCAAGTATCCTGTTGTGTAGCTTTGCGATTAAACACAAACAAACAGAGTCACTTTTTTTCATTGCTTAATGCTAAAATCCTGGGCTCTCGCGATGGACGCAGGGCAAGACAGCCCCCTTGTGTAGCCTTGCGCTTAATAGAAAAAGAAACACATTTTCTTTCGTTTCTGAAAACTCGGGTCAACTTCACGTTAAACAATTAATTGCAACTAACGTGCACGATAAATCACGTACTTTGATCTCCCGAGAATTTAGGTCACAAGCAATACTGCCTCTCATTAGCTGATCTGGATTTGTTGGTAGAAAAAAATGTGATCTAGTGGAACTTTCTGTGTCCTTATGTAAGCTTACATTTTTTCACTTTAAACCCTACACCAGCGGAAGATTCTGTTGAAAAGTTTCAAACTTTCTTTCACAATGAAGAAGAACATATGTTTGTGAATGAGTAAAACAAACAAAAACTACTTGGGTTATTGAAGACAGTTATATATATTTAAGGACTTGTATCTTATTAATGTATATCTTTACGTGTGAAATAATATTTTCTATATTTAAAATATTCATGTCCAGTCTGATGAAGGAAGGAAGGAGGGGCAAGTCCATCAAATTGTCATCCTCAAACAGATCTTTTTTTGATAAAGACTATTCGATAACAATTATATCCCTTAGAGAAACTTCGTCTAGATT